GGTTCCAAGGTACAAACACCAAATTTAACACTGTCATAAGTTGGGGCCCTAATACATGTATATTGAACATAAATAAAAACAAATTAATTTCATGATGTGACTGATTTTTGCAGAGCTAGCTCAACAATGAATTTACCATGTATATTATGCTCGGCAATTATTGCATTATAAGCCACTTCCATAAACTGTGTGGTGTGAAAATTATGCAGAGAATAAGGAGTGAATAATTAAGAGAGTGGTATCAAAAGAATACCAGGTAATTTATAAAGCAGAGGACTATGATTATTTGATAATTTAGAAAGGATGGTACAAGATAGGTCATTCCATACATTGCAAGAGGGGATGATACATGTTAGCCACACAATAAACATGTTCCCAAGGTATGTGTGTACCATGTGTAAAAAAAAAAATCATAAATAAGCACACTGTAGAGACACTGAAGAAAAAGTAATCAAACTACAAAAAGAATACATTGTACTGCATGATTTCATAATGTCCACCATGATGTTATGAAGCATGTTTTCCTTCACATTTTTTACATATAAAAACTGAATACAAAACAGGGTTCAACTGTTTAAAAACTCAAACTAAACTCATCAGCACAATGACTGGTTAAAAAAGGGCATCCATACATATACCAAGTTTTCTACAGACCTGTTAATTCACTGCTTCGATGATTATGCTTCCTGCGTCCTAGCACCCCCCTCAAAAAACAACCATGTATACTACCTTGAACCAGTACATAATTATAACATGACTGAAGTCAATCTACTAGGCATTCTGAACTTATCATCCAAAAACAGAAAAGGAAAATATAAATAATCAGGCCAAAAATCTAGGCTATCCTCCTGACAAGCACATCTAATGATATAATTCCGATTAAAAATTCATAAAATGTTAAACTAAAGCTTAATGTTACATTCTTGCATGCACGTTGCCAAACAATATCTAACTGAATGACAACAATAACAAATGTTCTTAATGTCATATTTACTTATGAAACTCAAGACCAACTTGTATTTCTTAAGAACACAAGAATAGAGTAGTACAGTAGCATGCATACCAGTCCATGCTAGGCAAGTCTTTCTCAAACTCAACCATTCTCACTCTTGTATTAACTACATAATACGTTTAGTCTCTTCAGAAACCCAACAAGGATTACAGTATATTCATACTGAAACATTTTCTGAGACAATTTTATTAAAATGATTGATCTTTGTTTAGGTTTTCAGGGATATTATGATGGCCTACAATTGTGTCAGTTTTTTATTGTATATGTTTAGTCTATCAGTACCATGAGCAACTGGTGCATCTTTGTTTCATATTCAAGATGAACCAAGATAAAAACTTAGTAAGGCTGAATATTGTGTACACTAACATACAAAACTACAACATAGTATGTGAAAATAAATTATATATGGACATGCTATCTTGTCAATTGCCAAGAGTTTAGTTTTTAAATATGGAATAATATACTAGTAGTATACAGCAAAGTATTGCAAGTTAAAAGATCATATACAGTAAACCCTCGTATAATACAAAATCACAAAGTGCAACTTCGCATTATCATGTCTGAAGTGCAATCAGAATTCCACATACTGCTCTAAAACCTCCTTGATATTATGCACCATAGAGCATGAAAGACTCAACATAACGTCAAATTACGTGGACAATCTGGGTAGTACTCTCCATGCAATTTTTCCTCTCCATCCCAAGTATTTGAAGAGTAACATCACTCTTCCCACTGCCACCTACACTTGCTTTCTAGGAATGACTCCTACCTTATGCAGAGTGTGTGTTTATCAAGGGATTTTGAATATTTGCATCATCCCATGTAGTCTCTGAATATTAACCATGGCACCTATGAGGAAAACTAGTGATCCTGGACATGACATGAATAAGCATGAATCTCTGACAATATTGAAGAAAATGGTAACTACAGATGTGTCTCAAGGATACATGTGATGCATATTGCCCACACTTGTTGTGAGAGAATCAACCATTTGTACAATTAGAGAAAACAAGAAGAAAATAAAGAGATTATGCAACGAGTGGTGCTGATTTTGACCCACTGAAAAGGATGTCAAAGAGGTCAATAAAGCTAAGAAGACAGAAAATTTAAAGAATGTGAGGAATGAGGAGAAAAAGAAGCTCTGCTTAGTATTCAGATAGTTTATTATAAAGCTGTATGAGAAGAAGGGTGAGAATTCACAACAGTGTACAATATGTAAACTCAAGAAAAGCTGCAATGAACAACTGTCAATGAATAAACAGAAGTGCCACCATCCATTCTTTCTTATTAAGTGCAAAATTATTTCCATGAATGGTTACAATACTGATCAAGTGTTCAATGCTGAAAAACCAGGGCTGTATATGAAGCATATACTGTCAAGACCTTACATTAGAAGCAAGAAATATTTGCACCTGGAGTTACGGCAGCCAAGGATCACTTCAGCTTGCTTAGCTGTCCAAATACCACAGGTGATTTCAGGTCCAGGGTCATGCTTATTTACTGTGTAGAGAATCCTCATGCTTACCTTTGAAGAGTTTCGAGAGTTAATCTACTCTCTGAGCCCAGCCATGGGCCAGGCTCATCTGGTGCTTGCCTGGTCAACCAGGCTGTTGCTGCTGGAGGCCTGCTGTCCCACATATCCATCACAGCCTGGTTGATCTGGCACCTGGTGAAGATACTTGTCCAGCTTCCTCTTGAAGGCTTCTACACTTGTCCCAGCCGTGTTTCTGATATCTTCTGGTAAGATGTTGAATAATCTGGGACCCCAGATGTTGATAGTGTTCCCCTATTGTCCCCACTGCACCCCCTGCTCCTCACTGGGTTTATTTTACACTTACTCCTATATCTCACCAGTATGTTGTTATGGCAGTGTGCAGATTTAGGACCAGGCCCACGAGTATTTTCCAGATATATATTATCATGTATCTCCCTCTCTCTCTCCTCTGCTCCAGTGAATACATGTTCAAAACTTGCAGGTGTTCCCAGTAATTTAGGTGCTTTACAGGCACAATGTGAGCCGTAAAAGCTTGACAAGTTCAAGACAAAACTTTGTTTGCCTGTTGTTTGGCAGCCTAACAAGGCAGCTTGAATAATTGAGGCCCTGTCTTTTGAATGGGTCATATATTATTTTATTCCTGCAGTGACTGATACAGCCACTGGATCGAGTAATTAAGAAATACTGAGTGCTACCACACACTCAAGATAATGGAAAAACACATCACAACATTGAATGATAGCTCTGAGACTGGTGTACCAGAGCATAGGTCAAGGTATATAATCAACCATTAATCAAGGCTAGAGTTAATTATGGCTTTGTGGAAAATAATTTCTCTGGTTGTACCCCCCTCAGCAAGAAATGAGGCCCAGGAAATTGAGTCTGGCAAGAACTGAGATATGAATGAAGATGTAAATGAACTCTTAGAAGATGAAGAACCAACTACACAAGAATTACTGGACCTCAATCCACAGGAGATACAGATGAATGAAGAGGATGAGGAGGAACCTGGAGGTAAATAGTTAATACTGCAACAACTACACAAGCACTTTCTTATATGTATTGGTAAATTTGCAGTTATATTCACTGAACAGGACCCTGACATGTCTAGAAGCATTACTGTGAAGTGGGTTCTGCAGCAGGTGATTATACCTTATCACTTATATAAAGTCCTGCAAGGTAAAACAGAAACAGAGAAGCATTAGGGAATACTTGAGCATTCCAGTACAACCATCAACTACTGACAACTCTGCATCCAAATCAACACAAGAATCATAGCCAACCACCTCAGCCCAGAAGAGCTACAAAAACCTTTTCCACACATTTCCATGCTAACAAGCAATAACTATTATGTAAGATAAACTGAACTAGGAATTTTTACCCTGTAAAATTTTAAAAAGTTGCCTGGCAAATTTGAAGGTGTCTGGAGTTGCCCCCATTTCCCACATGTTCTTCACCTCATGCAATACTATTTTTTCTAAAGGCATCAATTTTCAGGAATGTAACCAGCACGCTGTGAGGATTTACTGTATATTTTTCAACACCAAAAAAAGTTAAAATATTTCTTAAGATAATAGACGAGAGTATTAAGTCTTCTATCATAAAGTTGTTCATATCAAAACTGATACAAAATTAAATATCAGCTGCAATAATAAAATTTATAAGTCATTATTGATTTTGTACTTCTTTTTTATAAATACATAGGGTGTATATTTTCCTATAATAATCACCCTAAAATTACAAATGATCTTAACAAGTCTGTCTAAAAAGATAAATGATAGCAACCAGAATAGCTACAAGAGAAAGCTCAAAACTGAGACCAATGTAGGCTTGCCCATACTACCAGAAATAAAAAATTGTAAGGAGAATATGATGTCTAATATTTATGACAATGTCAAACATGGTGATTACTGCACTTTTAACTCAAAAAGTGCTATATCTACTCACTAAAATGAAAGGAAAACACTCTGTAGAGGGGAAGTAGAAAAAAAAATATTTCTATCTACTATGCAACTAGAAATATAACTATAAAAATAGAACTAATAATGAAGTATGAATGAATGCTACATTCAACGATTCTTAAGAGTACAAAAATCTAATGCTGAAGTCTTATTGTGGAAATCTGGGTTAGTGCACTTTATGAAAAATTTACATACTAGTACTGCATTTTTACATACAAGAATTTAGTGACTATCTCTGAAATTGTACTATCCAACATGCATACTTATCTACTAAACACTAAACCCTCTTGCAATACCAACCACATACAACTTTGTAATGTAGTGAGCATATGTCTATACTGAATACCCCAATCATAACAGTACAGTACTCCTAAATGGGGCATATTCAACACAATAATACAATATTCCAGAAGGAAGGAGAAATCAACTTTTTGTTAGAACTACTAGGTTCATCACACAGAATGAACTAAGATAGTGAATCAAAAGTCACAGAGTACTTTCTAGGAGCACCTTCTAGTTCATGAACTCTCACCCTCTTCTGGCCGAGCAGGGCTGTAATGATCAGCCCTTGTGGGTTCTACATAATTCATCTGATCATAGCCATGTGTTTCGGCTGGATATGGTACTTCTGTATTTGAGGTCTCTGAAATACTTTGAAGGTCGTGGGTATTTGTCGAGGGTAATTCTTGACTTGGAGTTTCTGAATCGGACGACGATGATGATGGGATGATAACATGCTCCTGACCACTTGAATCAATATGAAGCATTAAATTATTTAAGTCTACATTTGGGCCCAACTGTGAAGGATCTATGTATAGTGTGCGCGTAGTACCATCCTCCATGGTAGCTTCCACAGCTACAAGGTCATTACCGCCCTCACTAAGAGCTGGTGTAGGAACAGTAGGCACAGTGTTACCATGAGCATCTACTGCTACCAACATATAAGTTGTACCTGAACTTGAGGGTGTTGGAACATCACTTGTCTTCCCTGGATCGACCGCATCTTCAAGTTCAGTGTCTGTCTTTGAGTGTGGGGGCTCTGGGGCATAAGAAACTGAATCAGAAATACTCTCCACAGATTCATACCTACTCTCTTTCACTCTCATTTCATGAGCATTATCAACAACTGCTGCACTCTCAGCCAGAGTGACATTAAGATTTTGTGTAAATTCCTCTATATTTTTATTTAATTTGTCAATATTTTGAGTTAGTTGTTCAATGTCATTGCTTGACTCATTGGTCTCCTCAACAGGCTGGCAAATGGACAATTCACAAGTACGATCATCTGGTTCTTCTGAATATTCATCTAAAGGATTAGAGTGATCATGTGGTGCAACACTGTCTTCAGCTGCAGTACCACTAAAGGCATCTTCTTTATCATCTGAAGAGTCTTCAATTGGTTCAAGGCATTCAACTGGTTTGTAAACCTCTTCCGGTGGCTTATCAGCTTCTGCTGGTTCGTATGTGACTTCTGCTGGTTCATAAGTGTCTTCTGATTTATCAGTCTCATCTGCTGGCTCATAGCTGTCTTCTGCTGGTTCATAAATTTCATCTGCTGGCTCATAAATGTCTTCTGCTGGCTCATAAATGTCTTTTGCTGGTTTATCAGTACCTTTTGCTGTTTCATCAGCATCTTCTGTTTTATCTGTGTCTTCTGCTGGTTTATCAGTGTCTTCCACTAATTTATCAGTGTTTTGTGTTGATTCAAAAATATCTTTGCTTGGTTCAAAAATACTTTCACTGGATTCAAAAATACCTTCACTGGGTTCTTGACTAACCTCAGTCGATTCATGACTAACTTCAGGAGGTTTCTCAACCTCATCGTATGATTTATCAACATCTTCAGGTGATCTATCAGTATAATGAGACAGTTCATTCACGTCAGTAGATTCGTTTGTAATTTCTGATGGTTCACCATTCTCTTCCACAGCTTCACTGGTATAGTTTGTTGATTCACCTGTATTCTCTGTTGGTTCACCTATATTCTCTGTTGGTTCACCTATATTCTCTGTTGGTTCACCTGTATTCTCTGTTGGTTCACCTATATTCTCTGTTGGTTCACCTATATTCTCTGTTGGTTCATAATGTGTGTTTAAAGTGCTTTGTTTTATTTCATCTTCCTCAGGCTCTGGGGTCAGCTCCTCTTGTTGATAATTGTAACTATGGAATCGAGATTTGCCATCTTCTACATTATCAATTTTAGGTGATGGAGTATTTTCCATATGCTCCTCATGGTCTGTTTCACCTACGGGTTCTGCTCTTACACACACTGCAACATTATCCTTTTCTTCCTGTTTTGCCTGAGAATTTGCATCCTCACCTCCCTCTGCCTTTCCTTCCTTCCCTTCACAGAGAGACTTAATGTCACTCTCTTGCTCCACTTCTTCGTCTTCAGACCCTGACCCAGAATCCCTTGCATAATATTTTTCCCAGTCACTGTAATCACTATCCGAATCATTATTTATGTAATTTGAAGTCTGACTGGAGGAGGGAGTAACTGGATTTGCAGGTGTGGCTGCAAGCAGAGCATCAAATGCAGAATTGACATCAGAAGCCTTTGGCATGGGTCTTCTTTCATACTTTGGCTGTGGAGGAGGATAATCCTCAATGTCACTGTAGCCATCATCTGAATTATTATTTGTTTCCTCTTTATCTAAGCCTCCAGGAAGGGTTTTAGATCTTTCACCATCCATTCCATCATCATCATCATCATCCCAATCCATCAATAGTTGCTGTGTATCTTGAATGTCCTTCTTAGAACCTGATATTTCCCCATTGGTGTGTGCATGGTCCAAATTCTCTTTACCTTTTGCAGTTTTGGCCTTCTTTTTCGAATCTTTGTTTGATTTTGGGGTACCTTGTTTTCTTTTCCTTCTCCCAGGTATCTTGATACCTGTATCATAATTAAAAACCTTGTTTATGTGTGCTTTATTGTGCCAAATAATTACATTCAATCTGGTACATGTAAAACCACACCTAGAACACTTGAACCATTTTGATGCAGTACGCATATCTTCTTCAGCATTCTCTCTCCTAGGCTGCTCAAGAATACGCACCTTATGTTCAATCACAACCCTCTGCAGCTTATTACCCACACTTCTGCTGCCAACCATCTTGTACACAACAGCTTGCCCAATATCTGATCCCCTCTTGACACCCTCCTCTTTTTTCTTCTTAAGTTTCGGCGATCCAAAACCCAGGTCACTATAGTCTATTCTGCGCTTACCCGCAACCTCGCCCAAGGTCTGTAGGATGTTCATGTCCCCTCCTGTTAGCTTCTCAGCAGTCACTACGTCTGCTTCAAATTTGGTTAACAGATCCACTTCTCCATGACTCTGGTTTCTGTTGATACCTGGAATACAAAATACTTATTAGTCCACATAATTCTGAGCGTGTAATATACATGATAATTTAACTGTTCCAAAATTGGTCAACATAAAACACTTGGTTAGTAAAATACACCTACCATCCGACTTACGACCGAGTTTGATTCCGAGAAACCGGTCGTAAGTCGAACTTTACTACTAAATGTCAACAAATCATTTTTGTAATGACTTTATTTTATTGTTTTATTTTGGTATTTCATGTTTTACTTTACTTTTTATGTTGTTAGTACTATATTTTATACTGTAAGGTTTAGGATTAATACTGTGTGCAACACAAATAGTTGTTTATTTCCCAGAAATTTGGCATAAAAAACACAGTCGTAAGTCGAGTGGTCGTAAGTCGAGCAGGTCGTAAGTCAGATGGTAGGTGTAGTCATGTTAAGGAGCTGAAACAAACCACACTGATCCTAGTACATTCTGGGAGGTCATTAAACCCACCAAAACAAAGCAGCTCCTTTTCCTGACAAGGATCTTACTTTATTTTTTGGTATAATACTATCAGTATTTTAAGAAAAAATAGTTGTGGGGGAAAATTATAATCACTGGTACAGTGGAACCCTGGATTCTGTCGGCACTGGATATCGTACAATTCAGATTTCGACCACTTTTCTTGGTGAAATTTTACTCCGGATATTGTACCTCGTCCCTGAAATCGCCCGTATCAGACGCATCCGCCCGCTCAGGATGCCACCACTCATGTGTACGTGTCTCAGTCTGGCTCTGTCACTGGTTAAGTGAGCATTCATCCGAAACATTTTGTAATAATCCAGTGTTTTTTGTGCTTGCTTATTGAGTGCGACTGCGAAATAAACCACCACCATGTTGATACAAGCCGTATCTGCAACATATTCAGTGACAATATCTTCTCCCATTTTAGGCAAATCTTGAAGAGATGCCAGAAACAGAGCTCTCTGGACAGATTTTTAGTGTGACAGGGGTCCAGTGCCAGTAAAAGACAAAGAAGGGAAGTAATCCCAGATAGGGTTTTAAGACCTGAAGTCCTTATGGAGGGGGATTCCTCTTCCAAACAATAACCTCTGCTCCTCCTCCCTTTCCCCCTCCTTGCCATCCATACCCTAACAAGAGTCTTCAATAAAGGTAAGTGTGATGCTAAATGTTCATTTACCCATTTCATTAGTCTCCGTTTCGTACTGAGACCGACCTTCTGGAACGGATTAGGGACGAAATCAGGGGTTCCACTGTATATTCGCAGTTGTGTTAAAACTGAAAGAGTTATATATATGGTGCTTGGGGCATGGAAGATAATTAGGTTTGATCTAAGGAGGGAGAGAAGAGGAGGGATTAACTCCAATTGTTTGGATCAAGAGTCCTTCACTAGCATCAACATCCTTGACAGTACATGTATCTGAGCAAAAATTTAGTAAACACTGCTCTGAAACATTAAATAATTAAATAAAGTCATGACCATACCTATCTTTAAAAAATGGGATGCAAACAATGGTTGCACATACTGTAACTTTGCATACATATAATGTTGCTTTGCATACATAAAATGTAGCTTTGCATACATAAAATGTAGCATTGCATACATAAAATGTAGCTTTGCATAGATGTAGTTTTGTGTACATATAATGTAGCTTTGTATACCTATAATGTAGCTTTGTATACCTATAATGTAGCTCTGTATACATAAAATGTAGCTTTGGATACATACAGCTCTGCATACATATAATATAGCTGTGTACATATCTTGCTGTACACACACATCAAAGCTTGTACATACAAATGTAAAACTAAAAAAAATGCACTTAAGCTATAGGTAATCTAAAAATATAACCTAATAAAGCAATTTTTTATTACTTACATTGTCCTCTCCTGATGAATTCTTCTTTGCGCTCACAGTTATATGGGAATATGTGCTCTGATTTGTGAACATCTTGACTGAAATTATGAAAAAGTAAATATGTAATCACACTAACCATAAAGAAATTCACTGACTACTCTTTACATTATAATTCCTACCAAGAACCAAGGAATCATCAAGAGTATTATTATTCCTCTTCTCTCAACAAACCGGCCATATCCCACCAAAGCAGGGTAGTCCAAAGAGAAAACAAAAGTTTCTCTTTTTAACTTTAGTAATGTATACAGGAGAAGGGGTTACTAGCCTCTTGTTCCCAGCATGTTAGTCGTCTCTTACGACACACATGGCTTATGGAGGAAGAATTCTGTTCCACTTCCCCATGAAGACAAAAGTATTATTATATTAATATTATTATTATATTATTTGTCTTCTTTCTTCTTTCAACAAATCGGCTGTATCCCACCAAGGCAGGGTAGCATAGAAAGAAAAATGAAAATTTCTCTTTTTAACTTTAGTAATGTATACAGGAGAAGGGGTTTACTAGCCCTTTGCTCCTAGCATGTTAGTTGCCTCTTACGACATGCATGGCTTACAGAGAAAGAATTCTGTTCCACTATCCCCAAGGAGATTAGAGGAAATAAAGAACAAGAACTATAAAGAAAAACAGAAGAAAACCCAGATGGGTGTGTAAATATATATGCAGGTACATGCACGTGTAATGTGACCTAAGTGTAAGTTGAAGTAGCAAGATATACCTGTTATCCTGTGTGTTCATGAGACAAAAAAGACACCAGCAATCCTACTATCAGGTAAAACAATTACATGTTTCTGTTTCACACTCACTTGGCAGGATGGTAGTACTACCTTCCTGGGCAGTTGCTGTTTACCATCCTATTACTATTATATAACAGTGCACAGGCAAAAATGCTAAACCAATATGGTTAAAAGATGCCTGTGAAATAGAGCTTAATCAGATTTGCTCCAAGGACAAATAGGGCAGCTCCAATTCCCTGAATCAAGTCCTTCAACAGCAACAAGAACTCTCCTTGAAGAGAGTACCCAAAGAACATTTTACACAACCTCAGTAACATTTTTTTCTTTACCCTTTGACTGTTTTGGTCGTATATATACGTCTTACAAGCCAGTGTTTCGGACGTATTGATACGCATAAATTCTAGTGGCTTCAAATCAAGCAGGAGAAAGCTGGTAGGCCCACATGTGAGAGAATGGGTCTGTGTGGTCAGTGTGCACCACATAAAAAAATCCTGCAGCACGCAGCGCATAATGAGAAAAAAAAAACGACCGTGTTTTTGGATTAAAACACTGACTTTGAGGTGTATTTTCGTATAGTATTTATCGTTGTACAGTGGACCCTCGACCAACGATGGCATCATATAACGTTAAATCCGACTAGCGATACATTTTAACGCAAAAATTTTGCCTCGACTAGCGCTAAAAAACTCGACCAATGCGATTTGTTCCGTTCGAGACGCGTCCACGTGTGGTCTGCGCAGTGTTTACAAGCTAGCTACCGCGGTCACATCCAAACATACAATCGGAACATTTCACGTTATCACAGCATTTTTAGTGATTGCACCTGCAAAATAAGTCACCATGGGCCCCAAGAAAGCTTCTAGTGCCATCCCTGTGATAAAAAGGGTGAGAATTAGTATGGAAATTAAGAAAGATTTTGAAGGGTTTGGGGCTAACCCTGAAACGCCTATGCCAGTTGTGGAATCCATTGTGCCTACTTCAAAGATTAAGGAAATGTGTGCAAAGTGGGTTGAACTGCAAACCTTTATGGATGAAAATAACCCTAACACAGCTATTGCAAGCCGTGCTGGTGACTATTACAATGATAATGTTGTGGCCCATTTTAGACAAATCATAAAGGAATGGGAGGTACACAGCTCTATGGACAGATATGTTGTGCGACAGAGGTCCAGTGACTCTCAAGCTGGTCCTAGTGCCATTAAAAGAAGGGAAGTAACCCCGGAAAAGGACTTGACACCTCAAGTCCTAATGGAAGGGGATTCCCCTTCTAAACACTAACACCATTCACACTCTCCCCTCCTCCCATCCCATCAATCATCACCAGAGCTTCAATAAAGGTAAGTGTCATGTAACTGTACATGTCTTCTTTAGTTTGTGTGTATTAAAATTAATATTTCATGTGGCAAAAATTTTTTTTTTCAATACTTTGGGGTGTCAGGAACGGATTAATTTGATTTCCATTATTTCTTATGGGGAAAATTAACTCGACTAACAATAATTTCGACTAACGAAGAGCTCTCAGGAACGGATTAATATCGTTGGTCGAGAGCCCACTGTATTCTCATTTTCATGGTCTCAGGTGATAAAATGGAAAACATATTACAGAAATAGAGATGATTTTAATTAGTTTCACGATGAAAACGACCTTGAAATTGAGCTCAAAGTAGCGGAAATGTTCGATTTTTACCAATGTTCAGGAGTAAGCAAATCACACCACACGTCCAATACACGTCAACTGGGGAGTCTAATATTCTTTCACTAGTGCACTGATATTATTTATACCATTTTTACAATAATGCAGTAGTCTGCAAAGCAGTAAATTTTGTATTTTTTGTATGAATAAAAAATCAAAATAGAAAACAATAGTAATATAAAAGGGGCCTAGAGACATGACTAATGAACAGAGGATATGTTATTTTAGTACCAAGAATGTCTACATTGTTTATTCTGGACCCTATTTTGAAATTGGCATCTTTTTTAATTTGCGTGAAATTGGCCAAATTGCCAATTTCTGACCACTTTATTGGGTAGTTCAAATCGGTATATGGGCGGTTTCTCATACTCAACTGATAGAAAAAATGGAGTTCTAAAGAAATAGCTATGAGTTTGGTCAACTGGAACACTGGAATTGGCCAAAAACAGGACTCAAAGTCGGCGAAATCGCTGATGCGTATATGTCGCCAAGACTGCTAACTTCGCAGGAGCGTAATTCTGTGAGTTTTCGACCAAATTTTGTACTTTTGGTGTCATTACCATCAGGAAAAGATTCTCTATCATTTCATAAGAAAAAAATCTTTTTTTTTTTTTCCAAAAAATAATGCGACATAGAATGACAGTTTCAGAAAGGGGCTTTCGACAGTCAAAGGGTTAAATATAAATGAAGACCTGTTTTATGCATCATAAATAAAGAGAGAAATCTTGTAACCCCCTCAAGGGAAGAGCAGTACAAATTGTAATAATCAATATACTACAACCTTTTTTATTCACCACTTTTGTCAGCTTGGTAATCAATAATGGCAAGTGGTTTTGAAAGAAACTGAGCAAACATTAGAACATACTTATTAGAAAACATTTTGGTCCTGGGACCTTAATACAAGGTCCCAGGACCAAAATGTTTTCTAATAAATACATATGTCCAAGTGTTTGCTCATGCACCTTTTTAAACCATTTGTCACCTAATATTTCATAAACACCTCACCAAACCAACTCAAATCAAATGTAATAATTCGTTGTGAAGTTTTTTACTAGTAGCTGTATTCTGTTAGTAAATCTTGGGAGAGTCACTCTGGAATGCCATACAATATACACCCAGCATCCGACTTACGATCGAGCTTGGTTCCGACCAAATGGTCGTAAGTCAAAATGGACGTAAGTCGAGCCTTGCTACTGAATATCAACATCACATTTTTTAAAAGACTTTATTTTATTGTTTTATTCTGGTATTTCATTTTTTACATTACTTTTTATGTTGTTAGTACTGTGTTTTATACTGTAAGGTTTAGGATAAACACTGTGTACATCACAAACAGTTGTTTATTTCCCATAAATTTGGCATACAAAACAAGGTCATAAGTCAAATGTCGTGCAGGTCGTAAGTCAGATGGTAGGTGTATACTGGATACCTATCCCTGATCAGGACTCTACCCTACTTCTAACCTTCACAGTCGCCGTCTTGTTGAAGCATCCCTTACACACAACTTAGCCCTGACTTTGTCTCTGTAGATACCTTCCTTTATGATTACATTGTCATATGCTCCAAACCTCAGAACACTCATAACTTGACCTGACCCTCTCTTCTCCTCCTCTCCCTACCTGTTCTCCTTTCCTATTTTTTTTCTGATTTCTTTCTTTGTTTTTCTTTCTTCTGCTTAAGTGTGTTCTGTCCTTCAGTTTCATTTCCCCCCATGTTTATGGTCCTACCCCTTGTGGGTCCTTAGCTCTCCTGCACTGTTCATTTTTCTTGTCTTAGACTTGCCCTACTACTAATAATAATAATACTATTACTACCACTAATACTACCACCACCACTAATACTACTACTACTGCCTCCATTCCATTACTACCACCTGCACTCCATGACTACTACTATTGCTACTACCACTACTATTTCCTCTCTTCACTCTTCACTTCACTTTCTATCTCTTGTGCCACAAAAACTACTTTCCCCTACTTTTTTACTACCACTACTACTTCCACTAACACTACTTTTCTTCCTCTCTCTGTCTCCTCCCTGTTGCCCTCACCTATATATATATATATACAGTGGACCCCCGGTTAACGATATTTTTTCACTCCATAAGTATGTTCAGGTGCCAGTACTGACCGAATTTTATCCCATAAGGAATATTGTGTAGTAGATTAGTCCATTTCAGACCCCCAAACATACACGTACAAACGCACTTACATAAATACACTTACATAATTGGTCGCATTCGGAGGTAATCGTTATGCGGGGGTCCACTGTATATATATACTGGCTCCCTGACTCTTTTCTGTTGGTGTGACTTGTAAATGATTCAAGCCGAACTGAAACATCATCGTAAGCTTCTTCTGTGTGCAAGTTATTTGTGTACTACTCCATTTTCTTTTGTGTGAAGTGCTAAACCCTTGTAGGTCATTTATCCCAAGGTGTGATGGAGCCTCAATACTAGCAGTGTGAGAGAAGCATTACCACATAGACCGTTATATTACACGGATTTATTTGCCACGTTTTGGTTATTGCACTACTGAAAAATTGTGGCACAATTTTATACAACACTTCGGAAAATTAACTTTACACGGTTCCGTTCGCGGACACGGAAAAAATTTTCCCAGCTCAAGCTGCCACCTTGTTGTTGGTCAGTGGACGAGACCTCTCGTCATCCCCTGCCACCCCCGAAACTCCCACCGCCACCATCCCAGCCTTCATCAATATGTGTTCAGTTCCATTCATCTTAGGAGCTAGCTGTGTTTGTGAATTGTGTTTTGATCTTTTAATTACCATATCTTGTATCTGCTAAGCACTCATGGCACCCAGTAGGCATACCAGTGTTGGTGAAAGTGTTAACAAAGTTAACAAAGAAAACTGAGGTATTAGACAAGAGATAGCCTGTGGCCGTAATGAAGCGTTACTGTGCAATTAAAAAGAACGAGGTAAATATACGAGTTTGTGTGATGAATAACTGCCTGACTGATTTACTGACTTGACTGATTTGCTGACTGACTTGACTGATTTACTTACTGACTTAAAATTAGACTTTTTCCCTGAAAATGACTCTGAAATGGTGTCTAGAGCAGCTGATGCCTTACCATCACTTGCATAATGTACTGTGGGGTAAAACAGGCCAGAAATCCATTACAGAATTTATGCACATTCCAGTACAACCATCAACTTCAGTACTAGAATTTTTACCATCCACCTCAGCCCAGTAGGGCCACAGCATAACTCTCCACAATCATCCACAAACACCAGCACCCACAATTTAAGGTAAGAAATACTACTATTATTTCCGTTGCTTCTGTATTCTTAAGCAGTAGAAAAACATAATACATCACAACAATGAACTACAATTGCATATTCACTTTCATTTTTATTAAGATCTAGAGGTTTAAAAAAAATTGTTTGGCTTTTTTGGGGCTCCCAGGAATGTAACCCTCTTTGTCCCATAAGTTCTTCAGTTTATCTAACACGGATTTACCTAACACGGCATTTTCAGAAACATATCTACCACGTAATATAACGGTCTACTGTAGCATACATTTATCCCCCTGTTGATAGTTTGATCTAGTGCATGGGTTCCCAAACCCTGGGTCATGGTCTCAATTTGGGTTGCGACCCTTTCATATACCTTTGACGAGTTTTGAGATTCTTACTACATGTATTCTTGGAACTCTGTTAAAAAATGAGTGTATTTGTAATTTTTGCCAATGTTTTCTTTAATATTATGCTATAAGTCTACAGCAGTTCACTGGGGTACTTAGTATCAGTACTAACTGGGTTATAAGAAAAATGTGGCTTCAAATCTTGGTAATGAAAAATGGGAATCACTGATCTAGGGATAAGAAATAAGCCTAGTAGAGACTCTCAAGACCTAGACCTGATACCCGACCATACATAATTGTACTTCGTGTTATTCCAACTGGATTACAAGCAACAGAGGCAACTTAATTGAATAGTTTTTGGTGTGAGAATGGTCTCCGAGCCACCGGGGCAGTCCCAAGATGGCACAGAAAACCAGAATCCATTAAAAGATGGAAAGCAGAGGAAGCATGCCTACGCTGATGGCAAGGAAGTATGAAACTGGTGGCTTAAGAGTTAAATTTTAAAATGAATAAGAACTACAATAACATGGCTCAAACAATTAATTATTAGCCCACAATTTGGATTATGTATTATGCTATTTTACAGTATGTATTTAAAAGAAAATGCTACACCCCCTAGAACTGATACAGCACCTGGGAAATTGGAGGTTATCAGGCTTGATTCAAGGAAGGGAAGGATAGCTCTTAATTCCCTGGATCAAGAGTGCTTCACCAGCAACCTAGCTTATCTGGAACTACTGCAAAAGCCTGTATAAGTCCTTTATGAAATATTTATCTTTGTTTAGATATTATTTTTTTTTATATTTGCTATTAGACAGACGAAGTGCTGTGGATCTCTGATCTCAATATAGTACAGCATTATCATCCTTACTTTGACTGGAGTCACCCTGCACCTTCTACATATTATTACTCCTACAAGTTATTCTTCTAGTACACTATGTAACTTTTGGACTAGACATTCAAGCAGTGCTCCTCTTTTCTTTGATTTGATTGACTCACCCCCACTACTACTACTACTACTACTACTACTACTCACTACTTTCCCCTCTTGCTCCCGCCATGTCTGTTGGCCTACATATACTCCTCCTCCTCTCCTTTTGTTAGTGACTTTCTACATATTACTCCTCCTCCTCTCCTTTTGTTAGTGTGACTTTGTAAATGGTCCCAAGTTGGACCGAAAACTTGTCGTAAGCTCCCCTCTTCTATGTGGGGTTATTTGTGTACTGATTTAAAATATCATTTGCTTTCTTTGTAAGGTACACATTCTAAGTGCTCTGTGTTGTTAATGATGTTCATAATGGCAACAGACAGAAAACAGCTGGCAACATGGAGAATTTAAAGTCTTAACTCTATGAAGCTGTACTATACTTACAATTCATTTTCATGGAAAAATTTAACAATGGCTAGAGCATCTTGCGGAGTCCCTGGATATACTCGGGTGGGCATTTGGCACGGTGGTGATGGTTCCTGCCACCATGCTTGCCCCAGCCGCACCCACACCACAGAGCCATTCTCCAGGTGACTCATGCCTCTGCAACCACAAGCAATATACGTAATCATATTTGTTGCAGATGTAAATTGCAAAAAATGTATTACATTCAAGTTATACTGTACTGTACATTAATCACATCTAAGAGGGCAGTTTCACATTATCACTGTAATCGTGGTGAGATTTGTTCGGATTGGCCACTTAGGATTTCCCAAGAAAGGCAGTGCATCATTGAGGGACTGTCCGTCTTATTTCCATTAGGATCCTGAATCTTGTTCCAGGATGTGACCCACACCAGTCGACTAACATCCAGGTACCTTCTTGCCTGATAGGTGAATGGGACACCAGGTGTAAGGAAACACACCCAATGTTTTAACCCTTGCTTGGGATTGAACTAGGGACACTCAGCACATGAAGCAATAACGTTACCTACCAGGCCACAAGCCACCGATGCATTAAACCCATACGGGCTATATAATGCCTGGGCATGTATACATGTATACTCCAGGTATGTAAAAAGCACACTTATGTAGACAATCTAGGATTAGCAAGTTTATTTAGGTAGAGGTACATACAAGTATTCCCCCAAAAATCAAAGTAACTTATTTCCACAGGGGTCCTTGTAACATCATCTTATTTAAAACCTGAAAAGTTAAAACAGCTTAGTAACTCAACTATGTGAAATCAGTTATAATAAAAGGAGATACAATAGGAATAAAGCAAACACTAACTTAGTGGTATTTTCATAGAGGGAGCTCCATCTGAAAGGATCATTCTGCAGTGAATGATAGAGGTGAAAGAGGTGGTCGGAAGGTGAAAGAGGTGGTAGGAAGGTGAAAGAGGTGGTAGGGGGTGGATGGAGGTGAAAGTGTGGTAGGGGGGGGTGGATGGAGGTGAAAGGGTGGTAGGGGGGTGGATGGAGGTGAAAGTGGTGGGAGGTGGATAGAGTTGAAAAAGTGGTAGGGAGGTGGACAGAGTTGAAAAAGTGGTAGGGAGGTGGACAGAGTTGAAAAAGTGGTAGGGAGGTGGACAGTTGAAAAAAGTGGTAGGGAGGTGGACAGAGTTGAAAAAAGTGGTAGGGAGGTGGACAGAGTTGAAAAAGTGGTAGGGAGGTGGACAGTTGAAAAAAGTGGTAGGGAGGTCGACAGAGTTGAAAAAAGTGGTAGGGAGGTGGACAGAGTTGAAAAAAGTGGTAGGGAGGTGAACAGAGTTGAAAAAAGTGGTAGGGAGGTGAACAGAGTTGAAAAAAGTGGTAGGGAGGTGAACAGAGTTGAAAAAAGTGGTAGGGAGGTGGACAGAGTTGAAAAAAGTGGTAGGGAGGTGGGACAGAGTTGAAAAAAGTGGTAGGGAGGTGAACAGAGTTGAAAAAAGTGGTAGGGAGGTGGACAGAGTTGAAAAAAATGGCAGGGAGGTGGACAGAGTTGAAAAAAAGCAGTGGAGAGGTGGACAGAGGTGGTGATGAGGTGGACGAAGGTGATATGGGAAGCGGTGACATTTAGTGAGAACCCTGACCGGGTAGGTCACTCAGCATTCATACTAATAAAAAAAAAAGATATACAACACACACGTATACACACACAAAAAGACAAAATTAACAAAAAATAAAAGCTGCAATAAGGACAAATTATATCATGAAAAATTTGTTTAACACTTTTAATACTAGTTAATGTCATCATGAAATATTAATGCAACATTGCATTTTAATCATTCAAAAAAAAAATTGTAACGTATTCCTTAATACCTAATTAGGGGTTAATATAAATTTAGAATTAACATTTTAATTATTAAATATTCTCGGAGAGACACTAAACCCATAGAATCAAAGAGCGACTGGGAGGCACCTAGGTTTCCATCAACACTTAATAACATGACCAATCCTTGGATCAAGAGCTCCTCGGCGACGACATCAAGGCCCCAACCCCCTGAAAGCAAGCATCAGTGTCAAGCAGACATAATTAGTAGCCACAAGACGCACAATGAGCGACATCCATCACAGAGGTGCCCAGCGAGGCTTCACCTCCCCCTCCAAGCCTTCTCTCCCGCCATCCTGAAGCCTGCAACAACCCCCCCATCATCCTACAACCTGCAACACCCCCGGTACTCACAGTTATCAGAGATAACGTCCTCAGTGATGAAGGGAGAGAAGGCAGACGAGAGTTATCATCATAACATGATCACAACAAACGCTGCCACAGCTCCACAATGCCTCACTCCTTCACTAACATCAACACATGCAATGCGCAATACCTCTCATATAATGATAATAAAATGCTTCTTGTCCTGTTTGATGCATTTGTCTTGTTGGGGTTGTTTTTTTACGTCTGTAGTTTCTTATATTTATAAAGCACTGTTATCCAAAACATTAAGTTTTTATTTTGACTTCCGTACATAGCGTACAAAAAAAATATTTTTTGAGGTTATACAGATATTTTCACATATATATTATAGTAAGTAAGTAAATAAATAAGTAAGTTGGCAAGTAAGTAAGTAAGTTTATTAGGCTCAGGTACACATAAGTACAATTATCATACATATAACATTTCTGTAATTCCCCAGGATAACCTAAAAATGTCAGAGTTATTTCCCCTGGGGTCCTTGTAATATCTTATTAGTAGTAGTAAGCATATGAGTAGCCTTTATCTAGGATTTTAGATACTCGGTACAATACATAAAATAAATTTTTACAATAGTCTTGAGAGCCTACACTATACAACAGAGTACAGTACATAATTTTAAGGCGAGGTATGATAAAGCCATGGGGCAGGGAGAGAGAAAGGGCCTAGTAGCAATCAGCGAAGAGGTGGGCCAGGAGCTATACTCGACCCTGCAATCACAAAAAGGCGAGTACAAATAGGTGAGTACATAGGTACGCTTTTTTTGGGGTTTAACGGGAGAATAATTCAATAAAATTAAGCATTGTGCCTTAATAAATTTATATTTAAGTTTCCTGCATAAAGCTGTTTGGTACCGGTGATTTTATTTGGAATTATTAATCCGGAAGGACAGTAACACAAGACAACACAATAAAGACACTATGTAACTTATTACTTATCACAAGAACCCTCAATGGAAATAAGCAACTTTGTCTGACATTTTAGGGTTGTCCTAGGTAATCTACACATATACTGCTATGTATGATAATCTATGTAACTGTATTTATGTGCACCTGTACCTAAATAAACTGGCTTGTTTTCATTGCGGCCATTTTCTCATTATCCCAGCATGCAACCCAATACTCAGGTACCTACTTAATGCTAGGTGAAGAGGTGCTGGAGTTTACCTGGAGTTTACCTGGAGAGAGTTCCGGGGGTCAACGCCCCCGCGGCCCGGTCTGAGACCAGGCCTCCTGGTGGATCAGAGCCTGATCAACCAGGCTGTTGCTGCTGGCTGCACGCAAACCAACATACGAGCCACAGCCCGGCTGATCCGGAACTGACTTTAGGTGCTTGTCCAGTGCCAGCTTGAAGACTGCCAGGGGTCTGTTGGTAATCCCCCTTATGTGTGCTGGGAGGCAGTTGAACAGTCTCGGGCCCCTGACACTTATTGTATGGTCTCTTAACGTGCTAGTGACACCCCTGCTTTTCATTGGGGGGATGGTGCATCGTCTGCCAAGTCTTTTGCTTTCGTAGTGGGTGATTTTCGTGTGCAAGTTCGGTTTCTAGTCCCTCTAGGATTTCCAGGTGTATATAATCATGTATCTCTCCCTCCTGCGTTCCAGGGAAAACAGGTTTAGGAACCTCAACGCTCCCAATAATTGAGGTGTTTTATCTCCGTTATGCGCGCCGTGAAAGTTCTCTGTACATTTTCTAGGTCGGCAATTTCACCTGCCTTGAAAGGGGCTGTTAGTGTGCAGCAATATTCCCGCCTAGATAGAACAAGTGACCTGAAGAGTGTCATCATGGGCTTGGCCTCCTAGTTTTGAAGGTTCTCATTATCCATCCTGTCATTTTTCTAGCAGATGCGATTGATACAATGTTATGGTCCTTGAAGGTGAGATCCTCCGACATGATCACTCCCAGGTCTTTGACGTTGGTGTTTCGCTCTATTTTGTGGCCAGAATTTGTTTTGTACTCTGATGAAGATTTAATTTCCTCATGTTTACCATATCTGAGTAATTGAAATTTCTCATCGTTGAACTTCATATTGTTTTCTGCAGCCCACTGAAAGATTTGGTTGATGTCTGCCTGGAGCTTTGCAGTGTCTGCAATGGAAGACACTGTCATGCAGATTCGGGTGTCATCTGCAAGGAAGACACGGTGCTGTGGCTGACATCCTTGTCTATGTCGGATATAAGGATGAGGAACAAGATGGGAGCGAGTACTGTGCCTTGTGGAACAGAGCTTTTCACCGTAGCTGCCTCGGACTTTACTCTGTTGACGACTACTCTCTGTGTTCTGTTAGTGAGGAAATTATAGATCCATCGACCGACTTTTCCTGTTATTCCTTTAGCACGCATTTTGTGCGCTATTACGCCATGGTCACACTTGTCGAAGGCTTTTGCAAAGTCTGTATATATTACATCTGCATTCTTTTTGTCTTCTAGTGCATTTAGGACCTTGTCGTAGTGGTCCAATAGTTGAGACAGACAGGAGCGACCTGTTCTAAACCCATGTTGCCCTGGGTTGTGTAACTGATGGGTTTCTAGATGCGTGGTGATCTTGCTTCTTAGGACCCTTTCAAAGATTTTTATGATAGGGGATGTTAGTGCTATTGGTCTGTAGTTCTTTGCTGTTGCTTTACTGCCCCCTTTGTGGAGTGGGGCTATGTCTGTTGTTTTTAGTAACTGTGGGACGACCCCCGTGTCCATGCTCCCTCTCCATAGGATGGAAAAGGCTCGTGATAGGGGCTTCTTGCAGTTCTTGATGAACACAGAGTTCCATGAGTCTGGCCCTGGGGCAGAGTGCATGGGCATGTCATTTATCGCCTGTTCGAAGTCATTTGGCGTCAGGATAACATCGGATAGGCTTGTGTTAATCAAATTTTGTGGCTCTCTCATAAAAAATTCATTTTGATCTTCGACTCTCAGTCTGGTTAGCGGCTTGCTAAAAACTGAGTCATATTGGGAAAATATGCCCGACAGTTCCACTTGTGTCCCGTGGTTTGGTAGATAACGCTCTCGCCTCTCACACTGAGTGCCCATGGTTCAATCCCCGGCATAGGTGGAAACGTAGGGTTTGTTTTCTTACACCTGCTGCCCCTGTTCACCTAGCAGTAAAGTAGGTACCTGGATGTTAGTCGACTGTTGTGGGCGGCGCCCTGGAAGACAAGACTGAAAGACCCCCAATGGAAATAAGACAGACAGTCCCCGATGACGCACTGACCCTTGGGTTATCCTTGTTGGCTAACACTCCCCCTTCCCCCCAGGTTAAAAATCCGAACATCTTAACTTTCACTGAACGGAGTTGTAGAAGATCCCAATGGTAATAAGTCACTCTGACTTGTTGTGGGGTTATCCCAGGTAATTTACACATATGTCACTCTGCATGGTAACAGTACTTATGTGTACCTGCACCTAAATAAACTTATTTATCCCTGGACCTGAGTGATGAGAGGCCTCACTCTCCACTAAGCTATCTCGGGTTGAGAGCATTTTGAGAATGTGATAATACCAATAATCCACTTGAGCTGGTATCTAGGCCAAGTCCTTCAGATGTGAACCAAAGGCGCTATATTAGAAACTACCCCATGATAAGATGACACTCCAATACAGTCATATAGTAGGATTTATATCTAGTGGGGCCCTTAAATTTTTATTAAAGCGCTACATAATTACACAAGATACAAAACAAACATTTTTTAAGGCACGCTTATGTAGATCTAATCTAGAATAGCTCAATTAAGTCATACAATGTAGCTTTGTAAATTATATTTTGGTTATGCCATAGACATAATTATAAACCATACCACGGGCGGGATTTGAACCCGCGGTCAGAGAGTCTCAAAACTCCAGACCGTCGCGTTAGCCAGTGGCTAATGCGACGGTCTGGAGTTTTGAGATTCTGACCGTGGGTTCAAATCCCGCCCGTGGTATGGTTTGTTTGCAATCGTGTCATTACGATTTCGTGAGACATAATTATATCTTGTGGAAACAGTAGAAAATGTAACATAACCTAAGAAAATCCAGCGTAACTCAACCTAAAACAGACCATTTCCATGGGTGAGCGACCCGAGAAATGTACCTCCATCTAGCGTAACCCCAGTCCCCTGTACCTCAATGTTTGCGATTGGAATAGTGCAGACTGTGGCATATGTTTGTAATACAGTTAAACACCACCAATGAAGATTTGAAGCGAATCAGAAGAGGCATCCACAAGTCATCATATAAAAACTAATATATTCACTTCCTCAATAAATACGGTGAATTGGGGCGTACACAGTCCAAATCTCATTAAAACATTTCGAAAAGACCAATATCGTAAAATACGATGCTAATCAGACGAGACAGAAATTATATCATAAAAGCAGCATTTCAATTATCCAAATTTCTTTCATAAGACAAAGCAAATTTTGACACTAACCAACCCAAAATCAGTCCAATCCTTTCTCAAAGTAACACTGACCACCATTAAGTACGCAAGTCAGAAAATAATTAAAACAGTTTTATTTAAGTACTTGGTACATAATTTGTTTTACAATTGTCTCCAGGGCACACACGTTATAGACATAAATTACGTTAAGCAGATTTAAGCTAGGCTAACCCAATAAATTTCAACATTGTATTACTGGTGATCAGAGGAGACATTCTCTATATTTCACAGAAACCAATTTGGTTAATAAAACAACAACAATAAAACTTAGCCTAAAATCAAGGCAAAGATTTCTTTGCGGAAACACATCAGCATTAAGATTTTAATGGTGACCAGAAGAGGCAGTCTACAGTTACTGCACAAAATCCAACAAAATTTGCACCTACACATCCTAAAGAGAAGAAACTTTTCATCCATTTCATAATGAATCAGCCATTAAAGAATGATGGCGTTCACAACTGTTTCACTTTAATCAGGGAAGCACTAAACCAGTAGGCATCATAGCGCCTGGGAGAATTCAGATTACATCCAACGAAGAAGAAAGGTAGCCTAGTTTCTTGGATCAAAATGCCCTCGCTAGCATCAAGGTAAAATAATGCAATATAAAATAATACTGCCGTAGTGTTTGTGTCCGTGGTCCGATGCCCGGTGAGGGTGGAACACTGGGCGTCTTTCCTTACACCTGCTGTCC